TTATTCTAAACTCTTAATCTTATAATAATGAAAAAAGAAATCTATTATTTTAAACAGTACAATTGTAAATTTTTGGTTAAATGTTAATTTTAGTCTCTCAACTTTAAGTTTTACACTTTCTTTTTTCCTCAATCCTTTTTTGCACCTTTTTGATTCATCAACTCTAAAAACTACACAATTTTAGTTCCTTCGTCAGTTATCTATGATATGACCATTAAATAATTCCAAAATAGCATTTTTTAAATTTCATTTGATGACATGGTAATATATTATAGATTTGTTACGTGAATAAATAAAAATGCCAAATCACATAAACATTTATATTTTTAATAAAATGAAATAAAAAACAATAGAGTTATCTTAATAGCTAATCTCCCTTTCTCAATCCATCTTCCTCCCATTTTTCTTCCTAGTTACTCTAGTTACAATTTAAATCAGCATAATTTGGGTTCTATTAAACCCAACTGTTAGGTTTAACAAAACTCACTTGTTACGTTCCATCAAACCTAACAAATCTCATCAAATCAAACTAACTTCTCATTCACTTGGTAATAAATAATCTCAATCAAACCCTAATCAAATTTCAATATAAATGCAATCAAATTCTAGCAAATCAACTCCCAAATTTTGAAAAAAATTTACAAAGAATAGGTACAACAAGCAGATCAAGAACTAAGAATGGAAAGCCAAAGAAGAACTTACATCTGCTGGGTTTCGTTGAACCCACTTGCTTGCTTTCATCAAACCCGATCTACTGGGTTTAAGGAAACCCAACAATTAGGTTCCATTAAACTTGAGCTGGATTTCATTGAACATAGCTGTTGGGTTCACATAAAGAAAAAGAAAGAAGGGAAGAAGATGGATTGAGAGAGGGGGACAAGGGTATTAAGGAAACTTTATTATTTTTTATTTTTTATTAAAAATATAAATACTAATCTAATTTGTCATCTAATTTGGTATTTTTGTTTCTACACGTAATCAAATTATAAGATATATTATTTTCATGTCATAAAAAAATAAAAAGAAAATGTCACTATGGAATTATTTACTATCATGTCATAGATAATTGACAGAAGAATCAAAATTGTACAATTTTTAGAGTTAAAGATCAAAAAAGTGAAAAAAGTTAAAGGATTAAAAAGTGCAAAACTATAAAGTTGAGGGATTAAAATTAGCATTTAACCTAAATTTTTTTGAAAGGAATTCTTTTCCCGAAAATTCCGGGCTGTGTATCTGGACGGGCCGCGGGCCCGCAGAGCTGTAACAAAAACACGTCAAACTATTCTACTGAGTGGGGCCCATTTTTTCTTTTTTTATATATCATATTTTGGACAGTAGTCCATCATATGTGTATGTATCATCCTCAGCAGCAATTGTCGTTCATCTTGTCTAAATTCTGGTCGATTTTGGAGATTCAAAAATTCGCAGCTCAGGTGGTTATGTTCAAAATTTTCTATTATTTTTGTAAATTGAACAGTTATTGTCTGATAATTTGATCTGGGTACACGGAAATGTTGGATCTTTCCTCTAATCCTTCTTCTCTGACCCCATTTAGCTGCTCCTGAATTCAACCAGGGATCGCCCCAATTCTAATGTATTGTTTTGTGAAAACCCATTTTCCTAATGTTTTCAATTTAATGGGTTGATTTGATTGCTTTTTTTTTTTTTTTACCTGTTTAATATGCCCTTTTACCAAATTGGAATTCTGTCAATGTTTGAATATGAAAATTATCTTTTTATCTTGCTGGGTGT